CCGCGGCCTGCTCCTTAGCAGAAACAAAGGGCTGAATAAAGAAGACATAAAGAAAATACAAGGAGAGCATAACCTTCGTCCGCCTCCTTGTAAACCCACTGGGAGCTGCTTGTTCTGCTCATGGATGAATCTGGCCCTTGGTTGATTTTCAGCAAACTATAGATGGTTTATTGTCTCAGAGCGTTCCCTGAAGGTTAATATGCATCCTAAAATGGGAGCTTTGGGAATAACATTGTGCAGTGTTCAACTGCAAAATTCTGGCTACATTACTTCAAAATGTCAGTTTAAACCTTGAAAAAGACCCCCCAGAAATGCTTTCTTGATAAGAAATATCAGTCACTGAAGTATGTGCTATCTTTGTATAAAATATTTTAATACTGTTGTCAGTATTATTACAGTAGGATCTTGCAATTGCACATAGAACTGAGGGTGAGGAAGCAGAAACATGAAGATACCTGGAAGGTAGACAACAGTTTAAAGACCTCAATGCAGGAAGCAGATTAAAAGCCTGGCACGCATCTGCAATAAATAAAGGTAGGTTAGATTATTGTATTACTGATAACCCCACCTAAAGTTAAGCCAAGAGCTGCAGTTCAGGAATCTGCTTAACATTCATTAAAAAGCAAGAAAACTAGAAGAGATTTTTAAAGAAAAGTTTAGTGTTTGGTGAGCAGTGAGAAAAGCACAGGGGCATTATGTCATTGCATGCTTCATACTGACCAAGCAAAAGCTAGATTCTAACCAGAAACCATCTGGAATTAACCATGTATATAAATTAGTATCACAAATATATCTTAAAGTGGGTATTTGTCACTATGCTTAATTTTAAACACCAAACTCCTGTTTGGGCCCATAAATATAGTTTCACAGTTAAGCAGAAGAGAGATATTAGACTGAACATATAGTTTCCTTTGAAACTTACCTAGGCCCAACTCTCAATTACCAGATTTCCTCGAGTGTTTTGTTTTGTTTTTTGTTTTGTTTTTTGTATCAAAGCACTAACCAGTAAGAATGACCATCTGACACCTCCAACCAGGTTCCAAGTGAACCCATTGAAACTGCTCTCACTCTACAAATGAGACCAACAAGGTGGTCTCTCTCACCGAAGAAGTTATAAGAACTTATATTAAGTCACTCAGATCCAATGCAGAAAACCAACTGTTATTGTACTTTCTGAAAAAAATGCAAATTCACTGCAACCTATTAAATTTTTTTCAAATTAATAGGCATAATTGGAATCCCTGAGGATTTTCTTTTCATATAGTTAGTTTTTAAATTTCTAAAACTTATTTCACATGATACAAGTGAACTTGGGAGTTTTTAGCATAAGTATTCTTTATTTCCTTGGCATCTTTCATTCACTAAGCTCCAACTTTCAAGAAAAATGCATTGATTTCTGAATGAAAACACAGATGTGAATAATAACCAGGCATCAGTTTTGCACTTTTTAAGTCCTTCCTTATCTGTGCTTCATATGCTGGCATTTTTGAAACTCCTGTCCCCAGAATACCCTGGCACTGAAATGAGATGCTAACCTAGAGCAGACCAGAATACAAAGTTTATGAATATACTGACTCTAAATGACAGGTGTTCAAGATGAGAAACAAAGAGTCTCATTACATGTTCCTGACTACATACATACCTGGGCTACCCACTTAAGAATGCCTAGGATAATTTTACATCAGTAGTTTTCTATTTTTGGAAATAATATTTATAAATGCAAAACATATCCTCAAATATTTATAATCAGTAGCCTTCCATTTCTGCTTTTATCAAATAGAAAAGTCGCCTTTGAGAATTTTTGGAACTGGTGGTTCACACTTCTTGCCCATACATAAGAATATAAATAACAGTTTTTCCAGGGTACGTATGAACAACATTGGGTCCATTTTCCTGAGAAGAGGTTGAATGGGAATAAGCCAAATAGGAGTTTCCCTGACCTAGTAGAGCTTTTTAAAATGGGAATATTTTACTGGAAAAAACTAACACATTACAAAGTTTCCTTTTCAGATACTCAGAATGTAACTGCCTGAAGCAGAGACTGAGTAAAACGGCACACTCCAACTTAATCTCACGCTGGCCGCCCATCGGGAAGTACTTTCTGAGCACCTCTGGTGCATACGAGGAACACGAAGCAAAACCACAGTAAGTCAGACATGGAAAGTAGTTCTACTTATAGCACCTGGCGTTGTTTTGGGGGTTGCTGAAAGCTGCCGTTGTAATGGTCCCAGGCCACAGTGTGGCTGAGCAGACTTCTTTCCACCTTTAGCCCCAGAGCAGTGACTGTCAGCCAGCTTTGGTATGAACAAAGGGGTGCATCCAATGGTCCCACTCACACAGAGGCAGCTAAACAGGGCGTTGGGCTGAAATACTTGGCCGTTATGATAATGTACCCTGTTGAACTCACATCCCACAGCTACAAGGTCTGAAAAGAGAAAAAAGCAGAATTGCCAAAGAAGCCATAACTGATAGTCTCACCCTCCCATCATAAGCCACAGAGGAAACAGCTATGTCCTTTACAAAGTGTATTTCTCGATTTCTTAGGCCCCATCTGGAGCTTCCTTCACAGAACATCTGTAAAAGGTGAAAATGAGACATTAGCATTACATTGTAGACTGTGAGCCTCAAAGGGTGGCTTCCAGAATTAAAACCCAAGTACAGGCCCTGTTCTGGAGTAAAGTTAAAAAATCACAATGAGTATAGCAGTGAGATAAAGATTGTAAATCTGAGCGATGGGCCGGGGGCTGGTGAGACTGAGGTTTCCCCAGATGTCCAACAATGGGATAGGACATATTCTTAGGAAGTTAAGACATGTGAATGGCTGAAAAAATTTATAATTTGTTTAACTATAAGTACTGCATGGTAACTGATTTTTTTGTTAAGAGAATTAGAGGAAACTTTCACGACCTCTGAGAGGGATTCCTGGCCTGGATCGGCAGTTTTCAAAGTGTGGCCCACCGATCCCTTGGCGATGCCTGAGGCCCTTTCAGAAAATCTTCAAGGCCAGAACTCTTTTTTGGAGTACTAAGATGTGACTGACTTTTTTCACTGTGTTGATATTTGCACTGATGGTGCAAAAGCAATGGTGACTAAGACTGCTGTTGGCACCTTAGCATGAATCAAACTATATAGGTCAATCATTGTATTTTTCCTTGCCGCGCACTTGTACATAAATGCACTGTAACAAAAAGAATGTCCTTGAAGACACAGTAAAAATTACATTTTTTAAAAAATCTTAACCATCAAATATATATCTTTTTAATAGTTTTTGTAACAAAATGGGAAATATATACACAGAACATCTCTGTAGGTATTGTACCACAGTACAATAGTTATCTTAAAAGCACCTACACTGTTGTTTGAGTTGTGGGCCAAACCAACCACTTTTTTTAGTGGGAATTTCATCTGAAGAAATGACTGACAGATAAACCATGATTATTCAGACTGGGTATTTGGCAGACATTTTCTTGAAAATCAACAAAGTGAGGCTGTAGCTTCAAGCAAAACAACTGACAGTATTTATTGTCAAAGATAGAATTCAAGCTTTTAAGCAAAAATTAGAATTTTGGAAAACTTGTATCTACCTCTGAGAACTTTATAGCTACCCAATATATAGACTTTTCTGACAGAATTAGGATTAATGTGATTTTTAAAAATATTATATAATTACATGTATCATTTGGAATTTCTACATAACCCATTGTTCCAAACTGATATTTTCTAAATAACCAATGCACAGTACAAAATTATGCATGAGTAAAAGACCCATCCCAAGTAGGTCTAGGATGGACCAATGTATTTTAATGTCACAGAGATTGATATTGATGTGGTTCATTGATGTGGTTTTAGATTCCATGATGCAGCTAATTTTTTAGAAACTACCACTTTTCAAGTTTTAATATATCAAAAAAGAATATTCACAATTATCTGAAAAGTCTGTTAAAATACTCCTTCCTTTTCCAATAATATATCTGTGTGAGGCTGGATTCCCTTCATATATTTCAACCAAAACATCATATAGCAGTAGACTGAAAGCAGAAGCAGAGAACCTAGCTATCTTCTGTTAGCTAAACATTTGATTTGCAAAAATGTAAAACAATCCCACTCTTCTAATTTTTTTTGTTTTGGAAAATAAATTTTTTTCATGAATTACATATTATTCCTATTAGTTTGCAATATTTTTGTTATTTTTAAATGGATTAGCAAATATTTTTAATTTTCAAATCTATTAAATACCAATAGAGGTAACTCACTTAAACAAAAGCTCTTTGGGTCCTCATTAATTTCTAAAACTAAAGGGGTCCTCAGACCAAAAAGTTTAAAAACCATTTATCTACATCATAGATCAGCAAATTTTCTGTAAAGGGCCAAATAGTAAAAATCTTAGTCTTCACAGACCATTCAGCCTCGTCACTACTACTGGACTCTGCCATTAGAAAGCAGCCGTAGACTCTATGTAACTGAATGGGGGTGGCTGAGTTCCAATAAAACATTATGTATAAAATCAGGGGAGGGCCATGATCTGGCACCAGAGCTTAGTTTGTGACCCCAGTTCTAGATCATCCTCACCCCCAACCTCATGGCTACGCTCTGTTAAAATACTCATCACAGTATGTGAAATGATTTGTGGAAAGATCTGTCTGACACAGTCAACTCTGACAATGTAAGGGCGGGGCCTGTCTCTCCCCCCTCCCCGTCCCCTGCCCCCATGTTGTGTCCCCAGCTGCTGGTCACTAAGTGTTTGTCAGATTAATGAAACAGCTTGCCCAGCACTGTTTCGAAGACAGGAGTGTCCTGAATGACAGAGTCGGTTAGGTCATGACTTCTCTGTCGAGTTTCCACAAATAAAAGCTAAAGTTTTGAGCCCACGGTATACCAGACACTGGATTATCCTCATTTATCCTCTTAGCAACCCTGTAAGACAGGAAGCGCACATGGTGTAAGTGAGGCACAGAGAGGTTAAACATGACCAAGCTCACCCAGCAGCTGGAGCCTAGGACTTGAACCCATGGCCTACATCCTAACACAGTGATGGCAGGGGCAGAGGGCTGTCAGACTGGAGTGGCTCTACATGTGCAGCCCATCTCCGAAGATTTGCTCTTACTCCGTGCTCACAACCAAACTTCTGGGAGTAATTTACCTTTCAGTTGTGGGAGTAAAAGCCTTGGGCTTTTCTACAAAGTGACTGCCCAGCTAGCATGACTATTTCTTTTCCCTTAGAAATTTTATTTCTTAATCCTAAATCGACATCCTGAATTACTGGCAAAATGTAGGTTTAGATGGTCTCAATCACACTCCAGAGCTAAGCCCCATAAAGCTGAGGGTCAGGTTGTGACTTGGGGTGCCCCTACCTTCTTTTTTACAGATCTGCTTCAGTAAAACATACAGTAACTTGATGGTTATTTGGTAAGGCTGAGATTAAAGCAGTATGTCTGAATACTAAATAGATATCCTTACATTTTAAGCAAGATTACTTTTTAGTTAGAGAAAAGGCTGAATTCAGACTGCTTTGGGCAATATTAACAAAAACTGTCATTTTGAGGAACTTTAAGAAATCAGACTCTATTTACATAATTTCTTATATTTTAACCATTAAAAGCAATTATCTGAGAACTGCAAGATTACTTCAATGCAATTAAAATAACAAGTTTCTGAACGTGTGTAAACATCTGTTCATTTCACATGGTGTCCAATATGACAAAGCTAGTCCCATTGGTGCGTAAAAACTAAAGCCACCTTATAGTTAGCCAAGCTAAGCCGATCATTCCAAATTAAGAGTTGCAGAAAAAATATCCTGTCTAGACTCAGCCTTTTCTAGCAGGTTCAGAAGAAGACACTTACATGCACACACTCCGGTCTCGTACCTAGGCCTGTCTGCAGAGTAGTCACAGTACAGCCCTTTGTGTGTGTCGCAGAGGTCAGCTTCATTGCAGATGTCCCCTGGCTGCTTGGCACAGATTTTACAGCATCCACAGCCATCCCTCACCAAGCTCACTCCAGGAGGGCAACTGGGCTTCCGAGGACATCTACAGGGCCACTGACAGAACTGTTTACGATGATGCACTTCTGATACTTCTCCAGGCCTTCCTTCAGGAGTCACGTCTAATGGCCCCGTGCCCTGTGCCCTGCAGCAGAACTTCATTTGATGATAAAGGTGATGTTAGAAATGATTCCTCAAACTAATTTCAGAGGCTTTATAGAAATAGATTTCCCCCAAATTGCTAAGCTATAGTGTAGTGAGTTATAATCATCTCTCAGTATTTGACACAGTCACTCTCCCCTTCAGCTTTTCTTCACTCGGCTCCCAGCACTTTCTCACGCCTCCTCTCACTGACTGCTGCTTCTCAGTCTCCATTGCTGGTTCCTTCTCGACCCCATTTCTCAACACTGGAGCCCTCTGTGGTTAAGACCTCTTCAGTATCTTCCCTCACTATATCCCATATCTCCCACCCACACCTCTCTTCTGAACTCAGACTCCAACTGCCTACTTAACAGACCTCCTCTCTCAGGTATTTGATGAGTATAGCAAAAGTAACATGACCAAAACCAAGCTTCCAATTTTCCCATCCAATCCACTCTTCACCCCTATTTGAGCGGACGCCAATTTCATTTTTCCAGAATACCTTGGAGCCAGGTCATTGTTGACGCTTCTCTTACATTCTACTTCCGATCCCATCAGCCTACAGGCACTCTATTTCTTAACAAGCCCCCTGCCGCCGCAGTGATGTAAGCCACCCTCATCTTTCGCTTAGATGGTCAGAATGGTCTCAGGTTCTCCGGGCTTCCCCTTTGTCCTGCACATTCTCTGCTCCGAAGAACGGTGAGCACGCGGGGAAAAGAAAACCCTGGTGCACTGTCGGTGCGCCTTCCTCTCAAATTTGCTGTGGCCTTAAAACTGCTGTAAAAAAACCAGCTATCTTATTTTAGAAAAGGAGGAGGAGGGAGGGGGAGAACAGAATGCCCAGAGACAATACTGAAAGGAAAAAAAAACACTGTCACCCTGGAGTTCTATCTCCAGTAAAACTATCTTTCAAAACTGAAGATGAAATCAAAGGCATTTCCAGATAAACAAAACTGAGAGAATTTTTGCCAATATGCCTACCTCACAAGATATGTTAGAGGAAGATCTTCAGTCTGAAGGGAAATTACAATGGACAGTAATTCAGAAATACGGGGAAAAATAGTCTCGAAAATGACAAATATGTGGGTAAAAGAACTGTATTTTTCTCTTTTCTTCAGGCACTGATTGTTTTCAGAATCTCAAAACAAGAGCCATCAGAATGGTGAATAGAAAATGAGAGCATTGACAACGAAACTGAGCTTCGGCATAGTTCTGTGGTCTTAGATAATTTTCTCCCATTTATTTGATCTCTGAGCCTCAGTCCTCCTCTGTAAAAATGGGATTAAGAATAACCACCTTACAAGCATTCAGATGATGACGAAAGTGGCTAGCACAGTGGTTGGCACATACGAAATGTTCAATAAATGGTAGGTACCATCAGAGCCCTCAACAATTTATAATGGCAAAATTCATCAAAATAATACTTCCTCATCGCTCTATCTATAGCACCTTTTTATGTTTGTTTTGGTTTTTATGTGGGGCACATCCATGTTGTAGCTCTCAATCCACAGTAATGACAGGACTTTTCTCAAGAGCGGTGGAACAAGAGAGAGGCAGCCCCCTCTCAACTTCTGGGGAAATGTGCCCCTCTGCCTAACAGTACCAGCGAACAAACTGCACCACTGAGATTCTTGTTATGGTGCTTGTAAGATCTTAAACCGCTCCCTATATAATATGACCATTTTCAATCCCACGTTTTCTGATACATCTACTACTTACCACCCAACGAGGTGTTAACTCACAGACACGTCTGTCTGCAAAGTCACCAGATTTCAAAAGCTGTCTTTCTTCTATGCAAGCAATAACCTTCACCGTGTAAATAAACCCACAAGTAATTCACACTGTTTTAATCTTCTTATTAAAAAATACTAAGGCAATGAATCGGTCACGTTAAATTAAACTTCCCTTTGGTCTGTTGCTCGAAACATGTCCAAGCCTCCATGGACTGATTCCCTTTCACAACAAGTGAGACACACATGGGTTGAGAAAAGACAGGCATAGAATGTTTTCAAAATATAAGCGTCTGTTCCAAAGTGCTCCTTTCAGACAAGACCAGGCTTCACTGCAGAAAGGGCCGCGGTCCTGTTTCCCAGGGAGAGCCGAGCCCGGCCCGAGCCCCGGCCGATCCGGCCC